GTACCAACTAGATTCACTTTCTGATCGAACGAGGTACTGAAGTCAAAAGTCGAAGCACTTTTACTGCCCCAAAACGTGATGACAGACACAAAAAAAAACACACACACACACACATCATGGTAAAATCAATACATTTATCGCTCCGCTCAGAATCTAAAATGAAAAAATGAAAAAAAATAACTACTACTGGAAATGATAACATAAGTGCCAAATAAATGTTTAATTTACTTTATCTATTTACAAATAATAATTTATTAATACTGTTGGTCACTACAATATGAGTATCTCGAGTATGTGATGATTTTTGTTTAGTAATCTGCTGTAATAGGATTACAATTTTAACTATTTTTATAGAGAAGTTTTGTTTTATTAATATAAATAATAATAATAATAATTAATAACTCTAATAACGATAAAATAATCAGATAATGTAATTATTAATGTATTTAGTTTGATGAAAAATATAATTTTCCTTTAATTGAAATTTATCTGAAAATATGTATTCAAGTACTCCCTATCAGTTATCRCCTCCCGAAAACCCAATTGCAATACAAGGTCATCCATCTGASATATTTAGTGTTACCCTTAAATCGTGATCACACTGTATACATATAWTWTATATATTATTTCATGATTCATWTTGTAATTAAATATTACACGGATTAATCAATTGAATTCTGCCTCCTTATCTTATGGCGGTCAAACTTCATACTTCATAGGTTATTTATATATCTATGAACGCTGTGCACAGACATTTGTTGTCCCCGCCTTACAACTTAAGTTACAAGTGCTTGGTAAAGACAATTTGTGCTCAGCACACTTACATAGCATCATACTTAGCTTCGTTAGTTTAAAAATGAAGGTGAACTGACCCATGAAAATTGATGGTAAAAATTTTATTCTTGTTTTTATATGAGTTTTTAAGTTTCTTAGCAAGTTTTGCGTATATATAATATTGCGTAAATTAATAATGCTCATGACTCACTTAAAAATTAAAGTATCATATCAAGGTTAGGTACAAATCCCGTATACCTATTAACACAGAAAATGTTTTTACCATCAAGTTTCATAAAAGATCAATTATCCACTCTAATTGTTGAACTAACGAAGCTATACCTACATGGCTAAATGGCTTATAATTTGGTATGTTACACACTTGTAAGACAGAGACAACAACTTAATATGTTCTCTTAACACTGATTACTTTTTTATTTAATTTTCAATATGCATCAGTTTATTTTATTGAACAAATTGTCAAAAATAAAAAACAAAACAATTTAAAGCTCTTTTCAATAAGCTTTAAAAYGAGCTTCAATTGAAATAGTTTTCTTAAAAATAAAAAGTTACATCAGTTTTAGTAAACAATGGTTACCCATTAATTGATTAGAAAATTGAAATTATTGATGACATTTAAAAAAAATTCATTCAGAAAATACACACACATGCACAAGTACCAATATTATACAGGTATTTTATTTTTGAATTAGTTACATTAACCCCTTTGTTATACATACAAATCAAAATATGCACCTGGGCCTTAATATACAAATGTATTTTTTACAATAAAAACTTTGAACCAACCTTTTTTAATGTAAATAATAATTGTTAAAAATGTAAAATGTATAGCCTAATTACTATAAATTAAACAATTTTATAGTTAAATTGTAAATTAGTATTTAATTTATATTTTGTATATTTGTTTAATATGTGGATG